GTATCAGGTAGCCATGAGTTTTGGGTGCATATCTGGCCAGGTGGATGAAGGATGTCCTTTGTAGGGTAGTCTGGGAGGTAAATTCAGCCCTTATTGGACATCAGAGAATCCACAGGAGTGCTCAGAACCGTAGGAAATGGGGTGGATGTTCAGCTGGCAGACTACAGTATCGAAGACAAGGTATCTACACGTGGTATCTAATCTCCTTTTACAGGGCATGGAGATCTGGTCCCCACTGCTGCTCCCAGGTCTGTTTGGCTGAATGACTCCAGGCCCCGTGATGGCACTGACCTCACCTCTGACTTCATCTCTGCGGAGAGCGGTGGGAGCTCGGACACCCAGCGCATGTGGGAACACCTACAGACCGTGTCTCAATTAATTGAGAGCCACATCTCTGGCCAGTGGCGCTTCAGTGGCCAGGTGGGCACGCTTACCTGTCTGTGACCAGGGGCTTCACGGGTTGAGATGAGGAAACAGAGGCCAGCTCTCCATCCTCATCACCTTCATCCTCACTTGAGTTCTGGAGCAGCTCGGACTCCTCCTCATCCCCATCCCCTCCCTCTTTCTTCCTCCGCAGGATAGGTTTGCTTATGCCATCGATCTGGTTCCCATAGTTACCTCAAGAAAAAATGTGAAATAAAGTCACAGGGTTGTAACTCCAATCGGGCTCAATCTCTTGGCTTTAATTCAGGCTGGGGAGAAGTTTTCTCTGCAGGAACCATGGGGGACAGTGGAGTTCAACTCTCCGAAACCATGCCCAGGAACCATAAATTAGTGATGGGTGTCTGTCCCCTGCTCATGTCCCCTCTCGAGCCAGTAGGAATACACACCCTCCCTTTGGTGGTCAGCCTCAGGAGGCACAAAGCCAGGGTGAGAAGAGGGAGCAGCTCCACTGGCCCCAGCACAGCATGCACACAACAGATGATTTGGGGCCCCGCATGGCTTGTGCCAGTAGAGTAGCCATCACTGTCTCCCTAAACTGAGAGCTCTGCATGCTCTAGCATGTGTTGGTACGGAAAACGGGGAAACAACTGACCTCTCAGCCTTGGATCCTGCATTCCCTGCCAGGCATGCTTCAAAACCACCTTCCCCAAAAAACAGCCAACCTATTGTGACCTCGAAGTTGATGGGTTTGTCACCAATCTTCCTGTCGATCATGGTAGCTTCCAGGAAGGCTCCAAAGAGAAAGAACTCCTCCATCTTCCCAGTGCAGTTCTGCAGGAGGAATCACAGGGATCAGGGCTGAGATCAGCCAGAGGGACACCTAGGAGGGCAGGTCCCCTTGGGCAGAGGGTGCATCACCTGGCACCTCTGAGCACCCTTATGGGCTTTTTGAAGGTGAGGTGCCACTGCTTGGGCTTTCAAGGGGACCATGAGGATTTTCCCTCCCCCAGCCTGAGCCGTCTTTAGGCTCACTGCAGAGAGAGTTTAATTAAAGATTTTAGCCTAACTTTTAAATGTGTTGGTTTAACTGAGATCAGTCATCCCTTGCATGTGAGGCACTATCTAAGGGACATTCAGGAATATGAGCCTGAGTTCACTCACAAATTGAATTAATCAAACCTGCCCGGGTGCTCTTTCAGAACTGGAATGGCTTTATTTCCAGGTGGCTTCATTTCCCCTGGAGGTGGATTAAAGCCACTCTGAAGGAGAGCTTTCACACAGAGGGTGCACTGCCGTCGGACTTCTCCATTTCTACTTCGCACCCTTGGCTCATATGGATTGACTTATGCGGGCATCCCCAGGTAGGAGAAGCCTGGATGTGCCTGTTTATGCAGAGCATAGGCAGCAGCCTTGCAGGCTCTACATGTCAGGACTAAAGCTGTGGGGCTTCTCTTGTCAGGAAACAGCCATTTAATTTCTCTGACCAGTTCCACCCTGCCAGAATTGGCTGGGAAACAGGTTAGATTCTTGACTTCTGTTTGAAACCCATCTTCAGGACAGGAGTGAGACAGCTGGCATTAGGAGATGGCTCTCTTTGTCCTTGTCTAACTCCCAACTGGAGAAAAATTTCAAAGTTTTGGACACTCCCTCACTCAGATATTCCTTCTGCCCAGCACTCCTAAGAGAGGCGAGCATTTGAATGATCATAAAATCTGAAATCCTTGCAAGATTTGCTTTTGTTGTGCTGGGGGATCCAGAACACCTAGGACAACACTAAATGAAATCCTCAGTTTGTGAGTGTCGTGGTTTAACCTCAGTCGACAACTGAGCACCACGTAGCTGCTCGCTCACTCCCCCCCTCTGCCCCAGTGGGATGGGGGAGAGAACTGGAAGAGCACAAGTGAGAAAAACTCATGGGTTGAGGTAAAAACAGTTTAATAATTGAAATAAAATAATAATAATGTAATAATAATAATACACAAAAGCAAGTGATGCACAATGCAATTGCTCACCACCTGCCGACCGATGCCCAGCCAGTCCCCGAGCAGCGGCCCCCCCCCGGCCAGCTTTCCCCCAGTTTCTGTACTGAGCATGACGTCCCATGGTATGGAATGTCCCTTTGGCCAGTTGGGGTCAGCTGTCCTGGTTGTGCCCCCTCCCAGCTTCTTGTGCACCTCCAGCCTGCTCAGTCGGTAGAGCATGGGAAGCTGGAAAGCCCTTGACTAGTGTAAGCACTGCTCAGCAACAACTACAACATCGGTGTGTTATCAACATTGTTCTCATCCTAAATCCAAAACACAGCACTGTACCAGCTGCTAGGAAGGAAATTAACTCTATCCCTGCTGAAACCAGGACAGTGAGACCAAAGATAAAAAACCAAGAGGCCTGAGACCCAAGCCTCACCACTGGCAGCTGTAGGGTTAGGGGTGACTTACATCAGCAATTGATGTGGCCTGCTCGACTTGCACCTCGGTGGAGCTGTTGATCTCCGGGTTGGTGGTGTCCAAGATCTCTACAGCAAGACTCATCAAAAGCCTGGCCCGGAAGGAGACGCCTTCACCCAGACCCTCGTTCAGCTCTTGGTGCTCGTCCATCAGGGTGTAGTTCCGAGTGGAGCCATACATGTTCACCCACGCAGGGCCAAAGGTGGGCAGGAAGCCTGCAGTAGATCAGACATGCACATAGGGAAGGGGATGTGCAAGGAGGAGGGCATGTCTTTGCCTCAGGATACAAACTCCCTCACGGATTGGCATCACTTTCCCGGTCTGTGTACGGTGACGCAGGCTTGAATATGCATGTGTGTGTGCATGGAATTGCATGATTGCAACCACACATGGAGACAGTTCTGCAGTGAAGGCAGCGATGGGGACGTGCAGTCCACCAGCCCAAAGACAGAGGTGAGTCTCCCATTGGGTGAGTCTCCCAATGTGAGAGTCAAGAAAAAAGAACCCCCCACTAGTCCCCTTTGGGACCAGGGCCATCTTTGGTTTCACATTGGTCCTGCCTATGTATGCTGGTGTGTTCATGTGCGTGAATGGGGGAACCTGTCTGATGTTCATCCATTCATGGCAATGAATTTTTTGTTCTTGGGTGACTTTGCTTTCAAGTGGTAGACTGGAGGCTTGTGACGGGGCTTGGTTTTCAAAGAGCGCATGTCCAGTGGTCCAGAAGACCACTGCAGTGAATCAAAGTCTCTCCAGCTGGGCACCAAGAAGCAGCTACCTCCAGGGGTGGGGAAGGAGCCTAGGCTATTTTGCTAACTCTCTGCCAAAGGGACGTCTCTCTACCGTGAAGAAGGTAGCTCAGTCTGCCCCCGGCCTCAGCTTTACCTTTGTCTCCTTCATTAGAGATCTTCCGCAAATCAATGAAATGGGTACCAATGGCCACATCATTGACTTTGTCCGAGTCTCGGATCTGGATCTTTATCCGCTTGCACAATGGAGGGAACATTTCTGTGAAGACTATTTGCTCATTCCAGAGAGGCTCATAGCTGCTTTTTTGTATGGTTGTCTTCCCCTGCCGAGTGGGAGGAGACGGATGTTTGACAAGGGTTTGAGCTCCCAAGCCATCCCTCGCAACCTGAACTGCTCCCTTGCTAATGACCACTGAAACATGCATTCTGCCTTGTGACTCTCCTCTCCCAGGTAACAAGCTCCTTTCCTCAACTGGAGAGTGCTGCAAACCCATCACAGCCTGCACAAGAGAGGGGGAACATAGCGAATAAGGTGGCTTTGCCCTGCATCTCAGCATTTACACGCCAGGACAACTGAGATCATCTCTGGCCACCTGCACAATGGCTGGTCCCGCTCATGTTACCTCCCAGGGTCACCCTGGTACCGCACACAGCTTGCTCACCTTCTGCCCTGCAAAGACCACCTGCACATAGGGGTCTACCAAGTCCTTGTTCTCGCCAGTGAAAGCCTTCTTCACGTTGGCCATGATGCTGGTGTTCATACGGGGCAGTCCCTCTGCTCGATAGATCTTGATGTAGAAACGGGCCCACTGCCTCTCCGGAGGGACCCCGTCCGGGAGGAGGAGGTTCCTGCAACGTCAACAGATAGGGTTGGAAACAGCTGCTGGGGCTGGCAGGTTTGTCAGGAGAGGCTTACCAAAGAGGGAGAAGCTGCCCCACTTTCTGAGCACAGGCTCTGTGGAGGTGGAAGGATGACCATTTCTGCAGCCACAGATTTTATTGTCGTCCTGTTTCTGCCCATCCTCCTGTTCTGGGGTGGGGAGTGGTGGTTTTGTAGGCAAGAACTTAGAGGAGCCCCTTGAGGTGCCCCTGGGACAATGTGCATTCCACTAAAGGGATATAATAAATATTGTCAGTGGAGTCTAGAGGACGATTAAACTCAGCCTAATTTAGACATCTAAAGCAAGCCAGATGAATGGGATGTTAGAAGAGCCTTTTTTCTTTATCAGGGTGAGCTGGGGTGATGATTTCTGGGGGAGAACTGAACTCCATCAAATTGTTTTTCTTGGTAAACGTGGCTTTCCTTTTCTGGGGGAAGAAATGAGAGCCATGGGGGATGCTGTGAACAAAACAATTTCTAGAGGAATTGCTGGAGTTGTCCATGAAAAAGTGGGATAATATCACCACTACAGTATGGAACGATGGTCCAAAATAGTTCAGGTGGTGCCTCGAGCTCCCCGGTCCCCAGCAAGTCAAGAGAGCTGCACTGGTATTTTGCTACTAGTCTGGGTTTCTGACTATGTGGTGAGAGGCTGAGAGGTAGACTTGAAAGGCCATGGTTGCACTTGGAGATATTTAATTAGCCTGAAACATTTTGGGGCTGGAACTAAGTTTTAAACTCTCCTGATTTTTCTTCCACGGCCTTTTAGATGCTCTGGGGAGTCAAAGAGCCCTGCCCACCCATGCAACCTGGGAAACTGCATCCAGACCTCCCTGCTCTGCCCTGGCAGTGAGTGATGAGACCCCATCCCGTCCCATCCAAGGGTCAACAGGAGCATTAGGTAAACAGTGGGGACATCAGGTTGGTTGACATCAAGCTGGCATTGGTATAGAGAGCTCAACAACCAGCAGATGGTCTGACCCGATAGCAATGACTGGTCTGTACTTGATAGGACCTGGATTTGCACCAGTAATCTGCCACACGTTCTCTCTTTTCAGCAACTTATTTGGTCCCTCTGGTTTCATTGCACACGGTAAGTATGGGTACTAGAAGGGCTACCAGCCTCATCCAGAAGGGATGCTGTCCTCATTGCACAATCCAAGGTGAAGAAACATGAAAAATCATTCCCAAGCAAGGCTACGTGAAGCTGTCTCTGCAGATCCTTACCCTTCAATATCATCCTCATCCGTCTCATTGGCTTTGTGTGGTGTCTTGATGTTGTCCCCTTTCCCTAACACGGCGACGTCACACTTCAGGTAACCTTTCAGCCCGGCGGTGAGATCCTCGGGGTCTGAAAGGATGGCCCATTTGTGGTAGAACTGGTGCTCTGGAAGCCAGGGGACAAGACAGTCATTTATCAGAATGAGACACAGCAATTACCGTGGGGGCTGGAAACGTCCTTCCACTCGAGTGGAGGGACCTGCACATACACGTAAGAGACATCTTCAGGTGCGAGGAATTCGGACAGAAAGACCTGAAAAATTCCTTAGAAAGATGTGTCTCATGTTGAAGACAGAGAAGCAATGGGATAAACTGTCTGAAGGGGAGTGGAGTCTCCATCACTGGAAGTCACCATCCCTGGAGGTATTCACCATGTGGATGTGGCACTTAGGGACATGGTTTAGTGGTGGACTTGGCAGTGTTAGGTTAATGGTTGGACTCGATGACCTTACGGGTCTTTTCCAACCTAAACGACTCTATGATTCTAAGTCTTAAAGGCCTCATGTGCCTTTTGGATGGTGTTAGAAAGACTTCATCCTTCTGTGGAGCAGAGAACCAGACTAGATGATCCCTTCAGGTCCCCCCAGCATCATCTGCTGACCACCCCTGAAGTGCAGACTCTGGAGGCTTCATTCACGTCTTAGTCCTCAGGCTTATTTATAGAGGCAGAGTGCTGCAATAGGCGTGACATAGGAGCAAGGGAAAAAAAAAATAATGCAGTGATTTTGGAGGCATCTTTTCTGAAGGGGTGTTGTCTGTTCAGCTCTGGCATGCTGCGAGCACTGGGCCCTCAAATGGGCATTGCTGTTCTGTTTATCGTCAGTGAGCAACACGACAGCAGCTCTAATCAACCTCTCTCTTTTCTATTGCACACCAGGCATCTTCATTTCGTGGTTTAAATGCCAGCCACAGAAGGCAAGATCCAGCCCATGACCTTCAGCTCTCTGGAAGGCTGATATCTTGCCTAAGCAAGCTGCCTTGGGCTTCCTTCCTCAGCAGGTCAGTGGATAGAGACCAGCAGACCCAGAGGGCATCTCAGCCCTCAGCCTCTGAAACCTTATTTCAGGATGGGATACACAACCTTCTCCGGAGGTGCTGAGTGCTCTTTCCTGACCGCAGAGGGTAGCCCAGGTGACTTGCTTATATCTAGGATACTAAAATTAAGTTAGATAAGCATCACCCAAGGAAACTAGCACCTGCCCGGCTACCTTGCAAGGACATTTATTCAATGGTGCAGGTAGACACATAGGACTGGTTGGAAACAGCGTTTACATACCAGGTTGGGTATAAACGGTTCCAACGTCCATCTTGAAGGAGCCTACCAAAGTCCCACTGCGCAAGAGGTTTTTTGAGTGGATCACCTGGAAATCGAGAGGGGAGAACAGGTCAGACTTTTTTCCATGCCCTGGAAGCCCTAAGGCTCTCCCCACAGGTGTTCAGTGTCAGATGGGAAAGGAGCTGATGCGTTTTCCTTGGTCTGTATAAGGACACTAAGAGGCACAGTGGGGTTGGCAGCTCTTGCTTAGCAATCTTGCAAGCAAGTGTATACTTGGATTGATTAGAAAAAAATGCAAAGAAATTAATCTTTGAAACAAGACGCAGTTTTCCGGCCACTGTGGTAACAAATTTACCTGAAGGAAGGGACATCTACCTGAAGGAAGGGTCTTTAGGATGCTCGAAATCTATGCTCTAATTCCCTTTGTGGGAGAAATTGTACAGCCGGTCTGTGCGTGGCATAGATAAGGATATTCCTAATTAGTGTGCTTTGGTCAGTGAATCTGCAAATCTTGTTCATCGCCCTCCTCCGTGGCTGCGGGGAGGGCTGCAGTCTCTGCTTTGCTCTCAGCATCTGCAGTCCTGAATTTCCACAATAGCTCTGCCAGTCTCATGCCTCAGGAGATCCTCTGGCAGGCTCGGGAAGGCTTTGCTTCTCCCCAAGCCCAAACACATCCCGAGACAGGTTTAATTCTGCCTGGCTCTGAAATACCAGAGATCAGCCGTGGAGGGGGATAGCGAATGCAGGAGTGGAGCTGTGTGGCCCCAGCAATGAAGGTCAGCGACAGAAAGAGGGACTGGGGGTCTGCAAAAGAGGTGAGGCCCACAGGACCGAACACCTTGGCCCCTGTTGCGGGTCTCACGTCAGGGACCTTAAATCCATCCCCAGTGCATATGCAAAAAGGGCTGGTTTCTTTCAAAGCCCCGTGAAAAGGATAAACAGAACCATGCTCACTTACGGACAGCTTGATGATCTTGTCGAACATGACATCCGGGGGGACGTGGAAATCGAAGACGAAGTACTG